TGCTATATGGTATGGCGGCAGGGGTGGGGGTGGGGTCACTAACCATAATTTTACCAATATCTCACCAAACAGGAGAATCTGGATAGATGGGAGACTCTGGCTTCCACTGTGGAAGCCTGAGGAGCGGTGGGTTCTCCTTCTTCTTGACGTTGGATCCTGGAGCTTGGATTTATGACCCAACTGTGGGTATTGGGGTGTTTCTGCCTCAGAATCTTGGATCTTTTTAGGCCTAGGATCAAACAGATCTTCTTGGCAATGGTGGGAGATTTCAGGGTCCATGCATGAGTGTCAGGGGTGTTGATGATCATGGTGGCATCCTAGGCAGTCTGTCAGGTTTTGTCTGTTTTGTTTTATCTATTTAATTTCACATTGAAAAATAATATGCATAATAAAACGACTAGTAATTCAGTAATAATTTGCTTTTTTAAATAATAGTTTTATTGGGCTGGGGTTGTAATTCAGTGGTAGAGCACTTGTGTCTTGCATGTGTGAAGGCACTGGGTTTGATCCTCAGCACCACATAAAAATAAATAAAGATATTATGTCCATTTACAACTAGAATTTATTTATCAAACCCTCTATCTGTCACTCCCATCTCTTCTTACTTCCCCCCACTAGCACCATGCAATACCAGTCTGCTTTCTGTCTATAGATGACAAACTCTTCTCCAACTAGAATTTAAAGATGCACTTTCCTTACCTGAAGGCAAGGTTCCTGCTTAAGTCTTATATTAATTCTTGTTGCAAAACAGATTACCTCCACATTTAGCAGTTTGCTCTAAGTTTTGTTTTAAAAACAAAAACACATCTCCTTTATCATAGCTTTTTTGGGGGCAGGAATTCAGGCCTGGCTTAACAGAGGCCTTTGCCTCAGGGTGTTGCAAGAGACTGCAGTGTGTTGGCCGGGGCTGCAGTTTCATTTGAAGGCTCAATGTGGGAGGGATCTGCTTCTAAGCTCACTCACTTTGTTGTAGGCAGGATCTGGTTCCTTGTGACTATGAGACTGAGGGTCTCATGGTATAGTTTAGATATGATGTGTCCCCCAAAAGCTCATGTGTGAGACAATGCAAGAAGGTTCAGAGGTGAAATGATTAGATGATGAGAGTTATAACCCAATCCCCTGATAGGGATTATCTGGTGGTAATGGTAGGCAGGCAGGGTGGTGGGTGTGATTTTGGAGTATATATTTTGTCATGTCCTGAGCTGATTTTTTCTACCACACATTTCTGCCACGATATTCTGCCTCCCCTTGGGCCCATAGCAACAGAGTCAGCCTTCTATGAACGGAGACCTCTGAAACCATGAGCCCCAAATAAACTTTTCTTCCTCTGAAATAGTTCTTGTCAGGTCTTTGGGTAACAGCAGCAAAAAAGCTGACTGAAACACCTCATTTCCTTGCTGGTGATTGGTTGGAGGAACCCTCAATTTCTTGCTGTGTGGGCCTTGCTTCATCACAAACAGCTTGAGAGAATCTGCTAGCAAGTGTTTTGTAACCTAATCATGGAACTGGCATTCGCTCAGTGTTGCTATATTCCTTTGGTAAGAAGCAGGTTACTTACGGGGAGGAGATAGCACAAGGCCAGGAGGTGGAAAATGGCAGGGCCGTGTTGGAGGCTGCAGGCAAAGGCCTGTCCTGCAGACCTCCCTGGAGTTCTCCAGCTACTCGACATCTTTTTAATGCATTTCTTTTTTCTTTTTTTTTTTTTGAGCTAACCACAGTCTGTAACTCGTTTGCATCCAGGACATTATACTTGTTTGTTGGTGTTTGGTCATCTTGTGATTCTGGTTTTTATTGACCTTTCTGTGAGAGGCATAGCTAGATGGTAAAGGTTTCAGTGTTGCTCATGACACCTTTTTGTTTTCAAAGTTATCAATTCTGTGTCGATTTTATCACCTGAGAGCCAGCTAGCCAGCCCCTACCAGAAATTTTGTTTGAATATTAATCGGCATAAAGACCACAGAAGAGAAGAACAGAGACTTGGCCCCATCAAAACAGGAACACTGAGTCCTGTTAAAGGGACAGTTTATAAATCCTCAGATCAGCTTGGGGTTTTTGTTGTTTATCCTCATTTGAATCATGATCAGAGGGTTGCTTTCCTCCCAAGAGGGTTTGTAGGATTTAAGCCTCAGAAATCCAAACTAGTTTAAATAAGAAAAAAGGATTTGTGGACTATCGTAGCTCAGAAATATACTAGGGAGGCCCATAGGATCAAAGAGGAACTGCAGAGCTCCTGAGCCTTCAATCAGTAGCTCAAGGCCAATAGTTCTCCCTCTGGCTCTCATGGATACCTCTGTCATCTTTGTGCCTTCCCTTCTTGGCCTCATTCTTTATTATTGCAAACAGCACATCTTATCTTGGTGATATGTGACCTTGGTTAACCCTGGATTGGGCTTTGAACCAGAAGAAAGAGAAAGGTTGGGTCAAATGTTTATTCTCATTATCAGGAAGATGGGGTACTGTTCCAGGTCAGGCCTGGATTTCATGAAGGACCATGGAAAACCAACTTCCACTACTGCCCAGTTCAGTCTTCAGTTTGAGCTCTTTGTTAGTGTCTTGGGCATGGACACACCATTCATGTACATAACTCCTAAATTTTTGGAGTTTCCCCAAAGGACAAGACAAAGCCACAGTCTGTGGTAGTGGTCTGACTGGGAAATGTAGGTTGGAGTGATTCATTTGGGGGCCGTGCTTTTCATGGAGTCTTCAAATTAATTTGATTGCATCTAAGGTCCAGTGTCAGCCCATTGGCAAAGTAGAGTCACATTGAATTTTTCCATTCTAGGTTTTACTTGTCTCCTAACTACTTGACAGCTGAAAAAAGTTATTAGTAGAGAAAGAAGTCATTGGATGACAAGGAAAATAACTATCCATTTCATGGACTCCTGACTAAGGTTGAATTATAATAAAAAAGATCAGAGCTTTTTATTTGCTGCACTTTCTGTGATTTGTGGGCAGATTGTTGTTTGTTTTTTGCTTTTTAACCTTTCAAGTAAGGGATGATTTGTGAATGATTTGTTTCCGAAAACAACGTATATTCAGGGACTCATTCATCTCAGGGCTAAGACTAAATCTTGTTTTCAGAACCATATAAATATAGACTGAGAACAAGATCCGTCAAACACTTAACTTTTGGAAGATGTAATATTGGGCTCCTTTGAAATATGTATATTTATATATTTGTGTATATTCATCTGAGTAGCCATAGAATTCTTCCAGAGAAGTGCTATGGTGGGCTCTCTACATATGCATTTTGGCCTGGGACTATTTACAGCTGCTCTCACAGTTCAAGGCTTTTTTTTGGCAAATCACAGCTCACGGCTAACAGCCTGACACTTTCTCTTTGGCAGTTCTTTATGGAGGGCCCTGTCTATGTTAAGTGCTTGAAGGAATTTTATAGAGCCCACATTCCTATGGTCTGGGTTAGGACTCTCCCTCCAATAAGGAAGCAGCTCACTTTTACATTAGATTGAGATTCAATATCCAAGATGACAGTAGGGGGTGGGGAAGAGAAGATAAAACTTACTTGATGTCTCCTGGAGGCAAAGACTAGTATAGTGGTCAGGAACTCTCATTTTACAAACCCCATAGAGTTGTAAGATAATCAAGGAAAATATTTAGCATCATATGGGCACATTGCTTTGCCACTACTATAGTAGTTACAATTATCTCAATAGTCATCATTTTTGGGTCCCTGTGCTTCTATTTTCTACCATGGACTTATTCCACTCCAGGCCTCCGGGCAAAGAGCAAATCACGACTATCACCACCTCCACCACCATCGCCACTACCACCTTTATCTCCACCACCTACACCTACACCTCCATCACCACCATCACTACATCCTCTACCATCACCGCTATCACATTGACCACCACCACCTCCATCACCACTACATTTATCACCACTGCCATCTCCACCACCACCTCCACCACCATCACCACCATAACTTCTACCTTTATCACCAACACGTCCGCTACCATCGCCACTACCACTCCTACCTCCAACAATACCACTACCTCCACCTCCATCACCATTATGACCATCACCACCTTCCCCATTATGACCATCACCACCACCATCTTCACCACCACCTCCACCACCATTGCCACTACCATCTCTAACTCCACCACCATTGCCACCACCAACCACTTCCACCTCCATCACCATCACCACCATCACCAACAGTAGCAGTGGTGGTATGGGGGTCTCTGGACAGAGGCATGGGAACAAGACTGACTTGAGTTGAGATGTAGAACTTGCCAATCAACTTCTTAGAGATGCTGCTCCTCAACTATAAGATGAGTACAACAACACTTGTGATGAGTGTGAGAGATGGACATATGTTTAAGTGTGTGACACCCAGAAAGCCCCACTGTGGAAAAATGTCCCCAGTTGGCCATCTTCCTATCTCAGGCCCTCATGATGGTATAAGTGAGGATCTCTAGAAGACAAGTCTTGCTGTCCCTCTGGTCAGCCTTATCCCTATTCTCACTGGCCTTGAGTCAGACTTCATTGCTGTTAAGTCTGGCCCAATTTCCTTCAAACCAATGCCTGTGGTCCCATGATAATAGGCACAGCCACTCAGAATTATGCTGTTCACATAACACGCACCCTGGCATGGGAGCCAATGAGGAGGCAGAACAGAGATCAATCTCATTGCAGAAGTGAGAGGCAGGCCTAGGTCACATATGCCTGCTCATATATTTGTGACTTTGCATCAAGGTCAGCAAGAAACAATAGCAAATTAAAGATCTGTTTGATATAGAGGGGGCAATGACACTTAAAACCTCCTGAAGTCAGGTTGAAATTTCTCTCTGCTTCTGTCTGGTACTGGAAAGCTACCAATCAATAAAAAGACTTCTCAAGTTACTAATTCTTCACGTTGCAGATTCTTCCTCTGATGTCATTCCACATGGGTTGCTATTCAGGAAGGGAAGACACATGGGGATATTGAAGGGCTCAGTGACAATTATTGACATTCTCTCTTCTATGTCTTACAGCCTATTTCTGCTTCCTCCTCACTGCTCTGGGTGTGACAGCGGGTGCCCATCGCTTGTGGAGCCACAGGTCCTACAAGGCCAAGCTGCCCCTGAGGATATTTTTGGCTGCTGCCAACTCCATGGCTTTTCAGGTGGGAAAGGAGGGTTTCTGCCCTGGGGACCCAGTGCAGAAGGCAGTGTGGGAGGAGGAGAGGGGTGGGCTGACACTCTCCACCCTGGTCCTAGTCAGTGCTCAGGCCCCCGAGCACGCTCAGTCTGTCCCCATTTTTTTCTAGCATTTCTGCTAGAAGCATGTCCTGAAGCCCTCAACACTTGTCCAGCTTAACCAGGGGCCAAGTTCTGTGCTGAGCATGAGCTATGTGTATCACATTGGATCCTCACAAGAGCCTCATGAGCCAGATGAGGAAATAGAAGTTTAATGAAGTTAGAAAACTTGCCCAAGTTATAGGGCTAAAATCCAAGGTGGGCAAATGCAGGTCAATCTGACTCCATAGTCATTGTTCTTACAAATCAGTGTCCTGAGTTTACCCTACAAGGCCTTGGTGGAAAGGCTTTTTGGCCCGCAGTTGGAAGACTCAGGGATTCTGCTCTGAGGGTTGCTGGTTGTGAATCAGTCCTCATCTCCACTTTATTCATTTTCCAAAAATAAAGAGTATGATTTCATTTGCAGGGTTGTTATGTAATCATTGAAAATTCCAGGGACCTATCACAGTGTAAGAGGTCACCAGTGTACCAGGATTGGGCCCTATCCTTTAGGACAATTCCAGTCCTAGACCATTTCCCACCACCTTGGGCACTTTCTGAGCTGTTTGGATTTTGATTTGATCACAGATTTTCCCCCCACTGCCCCTAATTCTTCACCTAATAATTCAGGCAGCACAAGTGGGAACAACTTGTTTCAAAGTTTCTGCCCTTATATGTGTGCAGATCAATCCAGGCTCCATTTATTTCCACCAATAGGAAGGAATGGTGATTCCTGAAGCTGCCTTTGGTTCCAGGGGAAGCAGACATCTCACAGCTGGCATGTCCACCCGCTTCCCTAGAAGAGAGCCTGACCCTGAGCGTTTCTCTTGTGGCTATGAATTCATGTCCCTGGCTTTAGGATTCCCTCTACAGTTTCAGCTTTCACAGAGCAAACAGGACTTAACACGTAGATCAGTTTGGGAAACACAGTTGGTGATATGGATATGTAGTGGTTAAAGAATTCAGGCACAGTCAGAAATTAGTCCAGGGTCCTAGGAAAGACCCTACTACACACAAAGGAGAGCTTGGCTACTTCTTGGTTCCATGTTCTTAGTTCCCTGTTGGCAAAAGGAACTATGCTGCACTTTATTTTGAGTTTAACCATGTCTTATTTCAATGTTGTATTCTGTTTATCATCACTTAGAAACTCATTGACTTAGTTCTGTGATGCCATTCAGGGCTGAACTCAATATTTTCATTTATTTTGTTCAAGCAGTTTATTATTTTTAACCTCCAGTTGCACATTCAAGTAGTTATAAAACATCCCTATTCTTGGATTTTTTTTCCAAGATAAATAACTCGTGACTGAGAGCCTAAAACTCTGATTCTTATTTTCCAATGAAATTATTTGTTTGTAACTCAATATTTGAAAACCAAATTGTCCCTAACAAAACATCACATAACAGAATATCAGGTTGTGATTTTAACTTACTTGGGGAAGAAAATACATGGTACAGGGAAGTACCAAGATCCTTGGCTCTACTGTTTGCTAGATGTGCTGTTTGGTCTGCTTTTATGCAAATCCCAGGTTCTTTGTCAGCAAAAGGAGCATAATAATAATTGATAGGAGGATGAAATTAATGGGGGAGAAAAGCATTAAGCTTCTAATAGCATTCTATTAGTATTATTCTTCCTCTTGTGTTTTATGAGAATCCACATACCATCTCATTTCTATATTCTGGTAGCTACCATATAGAAAACGCTCACTAATTGTTAAATAAATTAAAAAAATGAATAGCTTTGAAAAACATTTTTAGAAATCATCATATTCGACTATGCACACTTCCTTCAACACCCACATTTGTGTTGAATTTTTTTATTCATTCAACAAATATTTATTAAGCACTTAGAATAGGCACTGGGTCTAACAATGAACAGCACTCAAAATCCTTGCCCTCAAGGGGGCTTTTTCATCTGGTGGGATATTAGAATTCCCAGAATATCTCAGTGGAAATTTCAATGCTTTGTGGGTCTGGTGTTACATGACAATGTCACTAAGCAAAGGATGTCTTTAAGGTAAGCATAGGGCTGGCTTCTATAACTATGTATATTGGTATCAGTGGGAAAGAACAGTCAGTCTAGATCACTAAATCTCCAGAGGAGAACAACCTGGAAGAGTGAAAAAATATGTGGTGATCTGCCCATGTAGGGTATTGACCCCCAACCCCAACTTAATGCAGCTATTGACTTAGTTTCCCTTTGATGTTCCCCTGGATTTTTAAAGTGTCTCAAAGGTTCCCCCCACTTTCCCTCCATCAGAATGTCCATATCTTTAGCCAAAATGGACAAGGCATGCCATAGTTATCTCTGAGGCTAGATGCTGCAAACAAGATCCTGATCATTAAGAACAATCTTAAAATTGGGACTTAAACATTTGAAGGTCTCTTTTCTGTTTCTTCTGTAGAGAAGATATGCACGAGTCAGGAAAAGTGGGGGCACTTGTAGTTTGAAAAGATGACGATGGAACAGGATTTCTGACAGGAACTGTAAAAACCCTCTAGCCCCTTTACTCCCTCGCATTCTACAACGACCCCCAGAGTTCTGGCCTGTCCTCCTCCCTTTTTAATAGGATGCAAGTCAACCTAAAGATGGCTTGCAGCTTCCTTATAATTTTGTCCTTGTCACTTGTGGACCCAGGTGAGGGATTCCTGCTGTTCCGTTGCCTCCAGTTTTCAGGAACAGTCATCAGGACTGCTTTGTGCTCTTGTGTTTGCACACTCACATCTGCCGGCTGCACTGTCTTGTGAACCCAGTCCAATTAACAGCACCTGCTAGATGCTTCATCCTCCTCAACGATGGCCCATTTCCTCATCGGGTCATGAGACATAAGATTTAAAGATGGAAGTGACCTTAGGGAATTCAGTCTAAATCCTCTTATCTTTACAAACAGGTGAACATGTAACTCAGAGAACATTAGTGACTTGTCAGTGGTGGATAGACTCAGACAGAAACTCAGGTCTCCTGAGCTTCCAGCTGGGGGTCTTTTGGCTCACACATGGAAGTTCCTATGTACTGTCCTACAGTGTGATTTGCACACAGCATATGGTTGGGTCAGGTTTTTTTTAATCCACTCTGAATAGCCTCTGTCTTTTTGGAGGGTGGATATGATCCTAGGCCCTGATGCAGGCTAAGCACATGCTCATTTGTGGAGCTACATCCCCAGCCCAAGTCTCTATCTTCTAACTTAGACCATCACATTTAAAGTGACTATTGATACAGTTGGATTAATATCTACTATGTTCCTGTCTTCTATTTATTACCCTTGTTCTCATTTCCTATTTCTGTCTTCTGTTCTTTTCTGTCCTTTGTGATTTTTACTGATTTTTGCATGATTCTATTTTCTCTCTTCTCTTAGCATATCAATGACACTTTAAAAAATTAGTGGTTTCCTAGAATTTGCAATATATTTTTACAATTAATACCAGTACACTTTCAAGTCATACTATACCATAGAGCACTTAACCTAGCATGCTTGAGACACTGGGTTCAGTTACCAGCATCTCAAAAAAAAATACTATACCACTTTGCAGTGTTGCAAATACCCAATTCATTTATCCCTCCTGATCCTTATACCATTGTTGCCTTTCATTTTTATTTATTCTAGGCTAAAATCACCAGATGCATTGTTGCTAGTATTATTTTTGAGCAAACTGTTATGTTTTAGACCAGTTAAGAATTAAAAATATGTTTTTATTTTATCTTCATTTGTCCCCTGATGCTCTTTCTTTATGTTGGCCTGATTTTTCTGACCTAAGTCATTTTCCTTCTGTTACCTTCATTGTCTTTGGTTTTCCTAGAAACTTCTTCTTGGGCTTTCAATTCTTTCCACTGCAATCTCTGGTAATGACCCCTAATGATGTGGTAATAAGGTGGAGGAAAGGGAAACATTCTATAGGGATCTGGAACATCCCGTACAAGCCCATGAGCCCTAGCTATGGCACTGCTGGCAGGTAGTAGAACCTTTAGGAGTTGAGACTTAGTGGAAGAAGTTAGGCCATTGGGGATGTGCCCTTAAAAGAGATATTAGGACCCTGGCCCCTCATCTCATTTCTTCTTCCTGGTTGCCACGAGGTGAACAGGCCTCCTCTGCCACATGCTCCCGCCATGTTGTAATGTGCTGCCATGGTCCCAATGCCAATGTCCATGGATGGGAGCCTCTGAAACAGAGTCAAAATAAACATCTTCCACTTATTACATTGATTCTCTCAAGTATTTTGTCACGGTCACAGAATGATGATTAACACAGGAAGCATTCTATGATTAGGTCTCAGTCTTTTAGTGTTCCTGAGTTGGGTATTTTCCTTCCCCTAAGTAGTTAGGCTTTGGTAAGACTCCAGTTGGTTAGGCTCTGGTGAAGTAGTTTCTCTGAGTACAGGCCTTGTTAGGGAGAATGAAGAGTTCTGGCCATAATTCAGAATGGTTGATTTTCTCCTCCTCCTGCAGGAAACCCAGGGACATTTTTCAGAAATCAGAGTGAGAACAATTCATGGTAGGGTTGGGGTCCCCTAGGACTGGGCACCCTCAGGGGTTTTAGCTCTTAGGTTGACCACAATGAGCCTCCAGCAATCTATCAGTTATGGTTTCAAGTGCTCCAACCTGCACTGGCTCTAGTTCTGGGCTTTGCTCCTGGATGTCTGCTCCCCTGATCCTCTGTGCTGCCTCTATCTAGTTTAGGGGGCAGCCATATGTCTTATGAACTTGATCTCCAATAGATGTAAGAAGAGTCGTCGGCTTTCGGTTTGCCCAGCTTTTATCTCACTGTGAATGTGGAGGCAATGGCTTGCAGCTTGTTCTGTTAGGGTTACAGTGCGATTTGTGAATGGAACAAACTTTCCACATAAATATGTTAAGTGAATCATGAAACCATAGGTCATAGACTTTGGCAAGA